ACTAAAACTAAAAGTATTTGGTGCTAGGCAAGATACAAAAAAAACACATTCGTATACAGGGTGTCCCAGAAATAAGTGCAAGTATTTTAAGAGGTGGTAGATCTCGATAAAAGAAACATATTTTCTCATTATCGTTTTTCAAATAAGTCCAGTACTTTGAAAATTTCCAAAAAAAAATATTTTTAAAAACCACTGGATCTTTTCTAGATTTTCTTTCTTGTAAACTTAATCTACTACCCAGATATGTTGCCATATTATCAAGAAATTATGTTTTTTAACTAAAAACTAAACAAAATTGCAAATGTTTTTTCAAAAAATCCCGAATTTTCAATTTTTTTTTTCGCGAAAAAACCTCATAGGCGTGTTTCTGGGGTTGAAGTATACTCCCAGTTAAAACAACTGCACTTATTTCTGGGACACCCTGTATATTGCATCAGGATGATTCCTAATTATTGTAATTATGGTTAATTAATAATTATTGTAACTTAAATACTTCACCAAACAACACTCAATAAACTTTACAAAAAAAGGATATTCTATGTTTTTGAGCCATTATTTCGTGGTAAAATATAAAAAATTGTGGAAGTTTTCATATACCATTTGATGTTGAAATTTAAACTCCAATAACTTTTAAACGAGTCGATTAAATGAAGAATCATATCAGACCGTTTTTGAAGACCGTTTAATTTCCTACAAGAATATGTTTTAATTTTTACAATACACTGATTTGTTAGAACGCAATGAAATTTCAAATAAAAATTCTTCCCAAACCAAACCAAACCTCGGAATATTAATATTAAGATCTCAAACTTTACCAGAACTCTGTTTTCATCATCGTGAACGATATTTTCACGATATTTTCAATTAAAAGAATAAAAATATATTTTTTGTGCAGCCTATTAAATAGTAACCCCTGGAGACATCAACAGCCGCATAACCGAGTAACCTTTTAGCATTTTTTTAAGCATAGCAACCGTTGTTAAGCATAACTTATATTAAAAATGTATAATTACAGATCAAACAAATAATATTTTAATGAATATTGCTAGCAGAGATACGGTTAAAAATGCAACAAATGGTTTTTAAAGTGCACTAAACCAAAAAAAACAAGTAGAATTATATTTCAAAAGCAAAAATAACAGATTCTTTTAATTTTCAAATTAAAATTAACCCGATATGGAGTTGTATACGTGATCGTGAACTTAATTGTAAGAGATGTAGATGTTAATTAAGTTTATGAGTGGTATACGTCAAGCGTCTTGTGTGAATTTACAACCGTACCAAACTGAAATTTTACGGTCTTTATATACACACAACTTGCATACTAGTTTTTAAGGTGCGTTATGCGTTTCTACAAGCTCTTTAAAACACAATAAAACATTGTACGAAAATTACATGCTTATTTTGTTGATTTTTTTTTTCGTACAAACAGATAAATATCCGACAAAATAGCTGAGATAACTGAGAGATTCGAAAGATGCTTACATTATAGAACAAATAAACATATATTACGCGTTGTCTTTTAGCTAAAGCTCTATATCGTTTAATAGGCACCCAAGAAAGACGATAAATCAACATCTCAATAAATTCTATCGATGGTGAATTATAGAGTCAAGATGCGCACATTGACAGTTAGTATTTTAATTTTAAAGTATTGCCTAGGCAAATCGATAGGCGTACATATCAACGATAAATTAACTAATCCTTGGAAAATAACTTATTTACACCAATGGATAATAAATAATTATCATCGCTGACAATGGGTATGGTTAGAAAAATGCCAGTCGAAACATACATAAACATTTGTATGATTATATTTTATAATTTTTTTTCTTGTTATTTTAGTCAGTTTTAAATAAATTGTTAATTACAGTAAATCTTAAAAAAAAAATTAATATGTCTTTGAATTAGGTGGTATAAAAAATGGTGATATTTTTGTTTCGCTGTGTTTATTTGCAAGTTGAATCAGTGAAGCGGTACTTCTAAAGTGGGTTTGCCTAAAAGAGGCGGTTCTAAGTCGGTTCCCCACCTTATTACAGAAGATTAATTGTAATTATATTGTTTCTCTATAAATATCAACTATGCTTAACCACTAATAACTGGTATATTTATTCAAATTATCTCCGAAGCGATATACGATATGGCAAGTCCTCATTTCAGGTAATCTTTTAATGTATATTGCTGCAAAAATAAGAAAAAAACAAGCTGCTAAATTGTATCGTTCGGTTAAATAGACGGTACGATATTTAATATTGGACCTGTCATAAAAAATGGATGTACGCTGTACCCAATAGGACGGTTTGCTGTTATAGATCCACAGTGCGAGGGAGGAATCAAAGCAAGCCTTAAGGCAATGAGCCGTGTTGCCAATTTTATTTTATACAGAGTGTTTACAAAGCATTTTTTAGCCTTAAAAAGCTTTTGTATTATCTAGTAGTAGTTTAAGCATATTAATTTTCGCAATATTTCAAGTAACCACATATATGAGCTGTTATTTTTGAAAGTGGTGTAAGTCCAATTTTTAAAAAAATTAGTTAATGGTAATTTCAGTAAGATATAGACCCATTCTTTTTATATTTATAATCATAAATTTAATGGAGTACAATTTTTTAATAAAATCAAAAATAGAATTTTAACTATAAAATGTAATAACAAAAATATATTTTTGGAAAGTGGAATAAGTCTAATTGCTACTTCAGTGTACGATGCTCAAGACAATTAATGCAATAAAGGTTTGCCGAAAAAATAACTTCATTTTCTATGAAATGAAAAAAGAAGACTTTGTCTGAACCAAATCTCTAGAAAAAATAAATTAAAAAGGAAAAAAATACAGATGAGAAATTGTAAACTTGCTTAAAATATGTTGGATACCGTTTAAAAGGAATGTACCACAATTTTTTTTATAAAATCAGTATGGAAAAAACTGTTCCATTTAAAAACAATTTTTTTATTTGAAAAAAGGAAGACCAAAAAACCTCTACAAAATTATTATGTTACCACATTATAAAACTTCAAGGAGCATAACAAGAGGCAAATATAACTATATAAGTTATTCACCATAAATACAATATGATCAAAAAAAAACGGCGTCAGAATATCATCGATGGGCCAAGACGTGATCCAAGCCAACTGGACGCCGTTTTTTTTTTCGATCATACGGTACTTCAATATAAAACTTTAAAAGAAAAATAAGTTTAAAATATCATTTTTTTAATTTAGAGATGTTAACAAAGTAATTTTTATTTTATATTTTTAATATAACTGAAATTAATTTTAATAAACTTGGTTATTCGTATATTTAAATGTCTTTAGTTTAATTATTACTTTTTACATAAAAACCATTTTAGTAAAGTTAATGCCTACAAAAATATTGACTTAAATTTACTCCTGTTTTTAATTCTTGTAATATGTTATTTTTGAAAGAGGTATTCCGTCCATTTGGTAAAGTAATTAAATTTTTTGTAGGAATTGTATAGTTATTATTTCATAATAAAATTTAAAAGGTGTATAGTATTAATAACATGACTCGAAAAAATAGTTTTACGAATATTTTTAAATTAATTCAAATGCAAAACCTTAAATATCTCGATACATGAAAAATGGTCTTATACCTCTTTCAAAAATAACTGCTCATATACTTAGTTTAAGTTGAGACGTATTTTTGATCTTATTTACTGGGAATCAACAAGATTGAATTTCGATTTAATTTAAATTTTCCTCTGAAAGCTTGGCGTAACATCGTCTAATAAATTTGCCTACGACTAACGGTAATACCATTTACTACAACCATCTTTCTTCTACATATATGGGCTTTTTAAAATTGTATTTGACTCGGGCTCTTTTACATAGTACCTACTTACTAACCCAGTTGAACTTTCCCACATGCGAAACATTTTACGTTTGCAAAAAAAAGTCTTAGACTTCAACATCAAACGAAACGCGATCTTTTTCAAAATGACTTTCAATCAGTTGGAGCTGCACTTCCTTATTCATAAAGCAAATCGAATAAACCAGAACATTACTTTTCCAATCGGATATATGAGAAAATTTCTTCGATATTTTAATTCATACGTATCTTAAAATACATATCCTTCGATGCTAAATCCAAATGTTATTACAGCCGTTTTATTATAGTATTATAAAAAAAAGTTAAATGTAAATCTATGGAGAATTAAAATTATATCAGTTTTCTATTTAAAAAACAAATATCTTTTAATTTTACATTAGTTTACAATTTTGCAATTTTTTATTATTTTATTTATTCTATCTTTTTTTTAATAATGTTTTTAATAATATACTATATAAATTATTGGTATAATCCTTCTTAAAGTACTACAAAATACTATATTTTTATCAAAAATACTTTATTTAAGATTGATTGATATTTAATATATTAATATATGATGAGCGCGCTGTTCAATCAGCATCATAACTCTTCAAAAACTTAATAAATGAGAACAAGTATATTCAAAAATATTTTAAAATTAATTATAAAATCGTGTATATAAATTTTTATGTATTTTTCTTTATAAGAATTGTCACCAAGACAGACAATAGTATCAATCCTGAATCACACATAAAATGTACAGAACTATTTGAAGCTCGTAAAGATATATTTAATATTTGAATTGCATTGTTCCAGCAACTGATAATTTTTTATTTCCCGATAATAACATTTTTACTGCAAAATGCGCTCTTTTTTTATAACGCCGCTAATGCATTTTGAAAAAAACTATATATCCCATTAAGATGTTGCGATATAACAAAAATATTTTTTTGCGGATGCATATTTTGATGGGTTCCGAGAATCGCATCATCGGGAAATCCAATAAGCATCTGTGTTTTTATAGAAAAACAACTCGGATTAATCGGAAAATTATGCTAGGATTCAACCGGTCGGTGCCGAATATAATAAACATAATTGTTTATCAGATATTTATCTGATTGATGAGTTTTTTATATTTATTACGTAGGAAAAAAATAAATGAAAAAAGAATTACCGTGTAAACATTCTTGAAAATTGTAAGGAAAGCAGCAAGAACACCAAAAAAATAACACGAAGGAAGAATTGCTTCGCTCAATTCCAGCGCCACATTATCGCAAAATGTATTTCGAAAAACTCAACTTTATTTTAACATTTCCGACGAAAAAAATAACCGATAAACTAGAGGTATTTAGGAATACTTAAGGCACATTTTTTCGAGAGATTTTTTAAAGTATTAGGTGTACTGGAGGACGTAAAAGTTGAATATTTCATAGGAAGATGTTTTGGCGCGTAATCGGTAATGCGCGGGTGGAACCACGTGAGGTTCGGAATAGCGTACGATTCGTTTGGTGCCGATAGTTCAAGAGGTACCCGTCTACTGATTGCCCTTCCTTATGCCATAAGAATAAGTGCTCCGCTTGACCCCTTCTTAACTTATTTTATAGATAATAGCACAGTCCGCGTTTTTATTTACGATTTCCCAAAAAGCGCATCTTGATTATGTACCTTAATCACACACAAATCAATTTTGAATAATCGCATAAATGGCTACGCCGTACATATATTATTACCGTAATAACACAGATTTTATTTATACATACCCACCATTATTTTTAATAATTATTATTAACTGAATCATACACAAATTTTTATATACATAATTAACTATATTCTTTATGTAAAGAAACACTATGTACTTATGTACTAATATTAATTTTATAGTAAATATTAATTGACTAGTTTTAAACTATTAGAACTGGAATAGAAACTCTTTATACTATTTTATATTTTTGTTTTTGAACCAAAAAGCATAATAATAATTTTCCAACATTTAAAATATTAATTTCCAAATAAAAAACATAATTTACAGAGATTTATATTGTTGAGTAACTTGTAGCTAAAATAAAATTATGTAACTGTATAAAACATATACACACAAAACTATTCTTCTAATTACAAAACCTTTTCTTAATATTTTCTTATAGACTTCTCAGAAAATTCAAGTAGATATAAAATTAACCATAAATATTCGAGTGCATGCATTCAAAAAAGTATTTAATTGAAATTTTACTCTGAAATATCATATTTTACCGGGTTAATTAATTTTTTTACTCGATGAAAGTGTATTGTTATCATGTTACAATAAGTTTAATATATCAAAAATATTAAAACATCTGTTGGCAAGTATTACCATATAAAATTATTCCTATCGATCTATTTTTTTTAATAAATTATTTAGATAATTAGCCATATTGTTAGAATGATTAACTTAAGTTATGTAGGGTTTATAAAATTTAATATTCTTTTTACAATGCGGGAATTTAAATTTTATTTTTTTGGCACATAATGCGCCATCTACAGAAGGAAGTGTGTAACTTTTTAGAATTTAATTCATATTTAATTCCACTTTGGTAGACAACCAGTAATACTGTTATTCTAACCTTATCATTTTTCTATTTAATCGCCTACAGCTTTTTACTTAACAATAATTAAGGAATTCCAAATGTTTTTACATTAAATATTTGTGTGTATTTATTGTAGTAAGTGAATTAAATCCGAATGAGTCGGGATCATTTGGAAAACGAGATTGTTTTTGTATAAAATGACAATAGTGTGGTGAACCATCAAAGAGTATGGAGTTTGAGTTAAAATGGAAAAAGTGTAATTAATAAATAAAGCTTTGTTCTTAAAAAATGAAAATTTTTTGCAATTTATTTTATGACATCTGCTGCATTATATAAATAACTATGTCTTCCAAAAGGTCAGTATTATTAAATCCCTTTGTATATTATTTAAAATGCCTCTGTAAAAGATAACCTTATTTGATATTTTTATTGTTTTATTTTTTAAGGATTCTATACCATTTCTATATAATTTTATGTGACTTTATACTAATGCATATTACAACAATAGGGTCCTAAAAAGATAACTATAAAGACACCTTTTTAGTGAGTTAAAGAAATTGTCAGAGGAGAGTTTGACGAGACAACCTGAAGAAGTTTTTGATATAATATGTAAACTAGGAGAAGGTTCCTATGGCAGTGTCTATAAGGCACTGCATAAGGAGTCTAGCCAAGTCTTAGCTATCAAGCAGGTACCTGTTGACACTGATCTTCAAGAAATTATAAAGGAAATATCTATTATGCAGCAATGTGATAGTCCTTATGTGGTTAAATATTATGGTAGTTATTTCAAAAATACTGGTAGGTGATTTTAAATAATATAATTGAGATATTTAAGATTAATGTTATTTTAGATTTATGGATTGTTATGGAGTATTGTGGTGCAGGTTCAGTGTCTGATATAATGAGATTACGTAAGAAAACTCTCAGTGAAGAAGAAATAGCAACAATATTATCTGACACACTTAAAGGTTTAGAATATTTACATTTAAGAAGAAAAATTCACAGAGATATTAAGGCTGGTAATATATTACTGAACTCTGAAGGACATGCAAAGCTTGCAGACTTTGGGGTAGCAGGTCAGCTGACAGATACCATGGCCAAAAGAAACACTGTTATTGGTACACCATTCTGGATGGCACCTGAGGTCATTCAAGAGATCGGCTATGATTGTGTGGCTGATATCTGGAGTTTAGGTATCACAGCTTTAGAAATGGCTGAGGGAAAGCCCCCTTATGGTGACATTCATCCCATGAGAGCTATTTTTATGATTCCGACAAAACCCCCACCTTCCTTTAGAGAGCCAGATAGGTGGAGTGCTGAATTCATAGATTTTGTTAGTGTTTGTTTAGTTAAAAACCCAGAGGAACGTGCCACAGCAACAGATCTCCTCACTCACGAATTTATAGGTATATCACTACCTAGACAATCGTTGTCTCAAAGATATATTTTTTTTGTTATAGGTAATGCCAAGACATCTAGTATTTTAAATGCAATGATTCAGGAAGCTCATGATATAAGGGAAAATCAGAGTTATAAAACTATTTCTCTAAATGCAAATATTTCAGGTGGCCTAAAACAAAGTGTGACAGAAGGAGTTAGTTAATTCTAGTAAAAATAAAAAAGTAAATCTAAAACAATATTTTTTAGGATGATATGTTAGATGACACTGCCAATCAAACTATGGTGTCTTGTGCAGATGAGGGCACTCTAGTACCAGATAAAGGAGGAACCTTGGTTCCTCATAGCCTCAATGCATCATTGGTAGATCTAGAATCCGAGTTAGGCACCATGGTTATCAATAACGATATAGATGACCAAACCATGAGGAGACATGGTACAGATTCAGTTGAAGGTGGCAATAAATATAGACCAATATTTTTAGATCATTTCGATAAAAGAGAAACTGAAGAAGAAGTTTGTGCATTTTTTAAATTATTTATTTTTGTTCTTTAAACCAAGTTCTTTCTAGATTAATAGCATTGTTAGTCCTATAACACCTGAAGTAATTCAGAAACCACCAGATGAAGAGCCTAAGTATAATAGTGAGCAAAAGCAAGTACATATAACTTTTTCAGATGGAGACTTTGAATTTGTAAGTTTGTTGGTTATTAAAAAAACAACGCCATTTATGAAAAAATATTAATTTTTAGTTAAAAGGCCTTAGTTTTGAAGAATTGCAACAAAGAATGAACTCACTGGATGCTGATATGGAAAGAGAAATAGATGAACTAAGACGAAAGTATGGTTTAATTTGTTACTTTTGCATTTGTATATTAAAAATCAATTTTGTTTCAGATATCAAGCCAAGAGGCAACCAATACTCGATGCCATGGACACAAAACGCAAAAGATCTCAAAATTTTTAACAGATTTACCACCCCAAAATTATGACAAACTTGTTACATTTATTATATTTTGCATTATTTTAATTTTCTAGTCAAGAGAAGTAGATATTGGGGTTCATCTTATCCTTGAGAAACATATTATTTCCTGATTGTTTTCCTTTGTATGTATATTTAGAAACAAGTCATATGTAACAATAATTTCAAATTACTGTGATCCTGAAAAAAAGTTCTGAGTGTAGGTTTAACATTGGGACGCGTAAAAAAATGTTTAGTGTTCATTCTGATCAACGGAGTCACTGTTTTAAAAGAAGCGGAAGGGTTACATCAAATACTCAATCTATTTTGAAGGGCATTCGTTCCTACATGTACTTAATCGTTTTTTTTTTGGTTATTTATTTCGACCGTTCAATAATTTAACGTGATAATTTTTAATGTTCTGATTTTTAACAATATTATTAAGTTTTTTAACTGTTATTATTAAGTTTGGTATTAACCGACTAAGTTATTAAATACGGATATCAATTTTCTGAATAATTACGATAATGTAACCTCTGTACGGAAAGTACGCTTGCTGTGCCTTTAGTAGAATAAGTAGACTTACGTAGAGTAAAACTAGTATTGTAATCATATTTTTTGACGATCTGAAGTAAACCTTACGAATTAAAAATAATAAATATCTCTTATTTATTCCTTTCTATAAAAAAAAATAAAATTATATTTCCTAGTTCTTATTCTGATTGAAACTTCAGATTATTTTCATTTGTCCAATTCCAAATACAAATCCACCAAAATTGTTTTACTGGTTGCTGGATATTCAAAATAAAACAGCTAAATAAAAATCAGGCTTTTCTTTTATTAATCTGGTACATGATAAAAACACAAAATGATTCCTGCTCGTTCAATATAGTCCCATGGTAGTCCCACCATAAAAAAATAATTTACAAACTTATTACTTTACAACATCTGAACAAGCATATTACTTTTGATATGTTAAACCTAAATCACTCATTATTCTTTAATGGAATCAAAGAAGTTTATAGCTGAACTTTTATTAAGTAATTCCTTCCGTTCATAAATATCTTATCGTTAAATAAATAAATTCTTTAACAACGCGACTCTAGAGAGGAGTTTCAACTATCTATTATTTTTTTTAAAAACGCCACAAAAACTGAATTCGAAAAAATAGCATTTAACTTATGGTAACTAAAGATACATGTTTATTAAAATTAATTTAGTATACTTGTAGGATTTTCAGTGAATTCAGATAACTTTTCGGTAGCAGAGATTCCTCAATTTAATAGACCTAATTGTTACTGAAAAGCATGTATAACAGAAAATCCTATTATATTCCTAGTGTATCAACAGAAAAAGACGCAATCTCAGTGGACTCTATGAAAAATTAAAAATTTGTGTAACAAGTAGAATAAATTTTGAACATATTAAAATGCAGAGTTCTATATACGTAAGATAAAACATATAAAAAGATAAGATTTAAAAATCAACTGATCTGTGTAATAAATCAATTAATATTTTTGTATAGAACTATCAGTCTTCTTAGGGCTTCATGTGTATTTTAAAATAATTATCTTAATAACCGTATGTTGTTTTAAAAGAAATCAGATACCCATTCATATACAATGTGTTAGATCTTACTGATACTGAACTCTGAATCCATCTTGAACTATTTTACATTTTCTGTTGATTTTCAGCTTAAATGAAAATTGTCTAATTTGTGAATTTTTCATAAATAAGCATGACTAGACAGATATTAGGTGTAACATGCAATAAATAAGGTGCTAAGCCTTTATAAAAGCCCCGAGTGCCTTCATAAGCCCACGTTTTCTTCACACAATCCCATGTTCCCTTGTAATGGTGATGTTGGTCTTGTAACCTTGTCCTTAGTACTTGATATGGATATGTAGATGCGGCTGCTATAAGTTTACTTATTGCTGCAAATCCAATATATTCTCCAGTAGCCTGTAATAATATATTGTAATATTGTTACAAAACTCATTAGTCTTGTGATAAAACCTTATCATAAAATAAATTATTTTGTATAGCAGTTCTTTTCATGAGTAGAATGAACTCAATTAAATAAATGTAAATAGTATAATATCCTTATAATATGGAGATATATGTTTGATTTTTATTCTAATAAAAAAATATGCAGTTCAAAAATTATAATTATATACTTACAAGTTTATTGTCATGAGGTAATTTCCTATAAGTATTGTAAGAAGCCTTCATTTCTTCGTAAGTCATGAATTGAATAGCACCGTGCACAACTCCAAACATGCCAGGAACAAATCCCTACAAAGAGCAGATGAGGAAACTGCATATCCCCTACCTATTATCACTTTTCCGTGATATTTTCATAAGAATTGAGTATATTTTGCCAACCGTGGCAGAGACTGACCCTATATAAACCACGCAGCCCTTCCATTCGATATATTTTTACTAAAGCATCTCCCATGCCATTGTAGAATGTACTGCTATCTCTGGATGCACCATTTATTCCATATTGCAAACACAGCCTTGTTTTCACCACCCAGATCGGGTTTGTTACTAATAATGTTAATATACCAGCTTCTGCAGCAGCTAACATATGTAACGTAGGACCCAAAGGATACTGGCTATCTCCCTTTTGTATCCAATTTTTTATTGAATTATAGCTAAAAAAACCTAAGAGTATATTCACTGGACACATTAGATATTATTTCTATTCTAAACAAAGAAAAATCTTACAACATTGTCAAATAATGCAATACAACACTTACAAGAGGAAATAAAAGCCCCATGCGCTACCAGATCCCCAGACATTGGGTGCAACTCCTCTATATAATCCTTTAACACCTTCCTGACGTAACACAGTATAAAAAGCACTTGATAAACTATTATATTGAGGAACAGTTGTTCTTCCATCGCTAACTAAAAAGACATATAATTTACAAATGTTGAAGCCTGAACAAATGGCATTTTCCAGGTGCAAATAGAACAGTCTCTCTCACAAAACCAGCTCTAATTACACATACATTTCTCTCTCTGAGAAATCCTAAACTACACATACCAGCAAAACGTATTTTCATTAAATCCAAAGGGTGCAATATAAGGGTGGAAATAGCTCCACCAGATATTCCTGCTAAAAGATGTTGGTACTTAACATGACTTAAAAAAGAAAGAGCATTGTTCCCATTGCTATGATTCTTCATGGCGATATTGTTATTTGTACTATTCAACTGTTGGTTATTGTTTGATTCAAGATGAAATGGAACATCAACATTTTCTTTCACTTTTACTACTGTAGACATACAAAGCAGCTTGTTTCTGTGATCCTGAGATCTTTGTTACTTAAAGGTTATGTAATTTGAAGGAAAATTGCAACATTTCCATTAAAGAAAATTCAATATATAAACGACTCACGTGTTTCGTATATGTGAATGAGAATAACTACGAAAGCATATTCGTTTTAGTTATTTATAATTCATGCCAAAAATGAATCTGAAATAAAAATTCTGAGAATCAGCTGAATTGTCTATCAAAAAAGGATTTCGTCAATCGTCAATTCCCCCAACTCCCAAACAAAGAGAAATCAAAATCGAATCTGCCTTTCTCTCTTTCACGTAGCTAGAGATATATGTCTATCTCTATGAGAAGTAGGTTCATTGGTTTCTACAATTTTATTTTAAAAAATAATTAATAAATTTTCTTTATTATTTTGCAGGGTATACCTTTTGCAGTATCAAGTTTGATACCATTTATACTATCAACTATTAAATTCTATACTAATCTGTACTGCATTTATCCGTTATAAGTGGTGTTTTTTGGGTTGTCTAAAAACAGTTATATATGTTATCAATATTCACATAGTGATTCACAATGGATTCACATTATGTGACCATTATTTAACTTGTGATATTATTCTTTTTCTCTAAAAGCAATATTTAATAATATATTATTAAAAAACGGTTAGATCCTATTGAACGTCCTCTACAAAATTACAATTCGGGGTATAAAAACAAAAAAGACAATAAATATTAAAATAGTTTTATTTCATTTCTATACCTCTCACCCTCTTACCTTGTGACCAATTAAAGCTCCATTTATATAATATTTATAGAAATAAAAATTAATTTTTGAAAAATATAATAACAGTTTCAATGTATAAAATAAAAATAAATCAAGCAATTTCAATGGCCATGGCAATACCCATGCCCCCACCTATGCAGAGAGCTACAATTCCTCGTTTCTTTTTAAGGCGTCGTAAATTATAAATTAATGTAACGAGACATCTAGTTCCAGAGGCTCCAATTGGGTGTCCAAGAGCTATGGCTCCTCCACTAATATTAACCTTAGATTCTTCTAAACCAAGTTCCTTAAGGCATATTATGCTTTGAACTGCAAAGGCCTCATTCAGCTCGTACAAGTCCACTTCATCTTTGGTCCAGCCAGCCTTTTCAAGCTACAACAAAAGTAGAATTATAGATCGCACTTCTTGCTATACTTGAATTATTACGTACCACTTTTAAAATTGCTCTTATAGGGCCTAAACCCATACAGACCGGATCTACACCCACTTCAGCAAATGCAATTATTTCAGCAAGAGGTTTTAATTGTTTTTCTTTTACACTGTGTTCATTAGCCAGTACCACAGCCGCAGCACCGTCATTGATTCCGGAAGCATTACCTGCTGTTACTGTTCCATTCTAAATGAAATAAAAAGTTTAATTCAAATGCTTAGCAAATTAACTCGCTATCTTACTGCTTCAAAAACTGGTCTTAATTTTGCTAGTTTTTCTAGATTACAATCCTGTTTAGGAAATTCATCTTTGTCAATTGATTTTTTTGTACGCTTATCTAGAACACCAACAATTTCTTCATCAAAATAACCATTTTTAATGGCAATTTCGGCTTTGTTCTGTGACTTGACAGAAAATGCATCTTGGTCAGCTCTAGATATATTATAAGTTTTTGCTAGATGTTCAGCTAAAACAAAATAAAAGTTAGTTGAATCCTTGAAACATCTACAGGAAATTGTGAACCTGTATTTCCCATATGAAAATTATTGAAAGCATCGGTAAGGCCATCATTTAACAATGTATCACATAAATTTAAAGCACCAAGCTTGTTTCCCCTAAGATAGGTTGAATGTTGAGCGCGAGTCATGCTTTCTTGGCCACCAACCACCAAAATGTTATAGTCCTCATTTTTAAGGGCTTGATAACCAAGAACTACTGATCTATATGCATAATTGTTAAACAAGTTGGTTATTATTACAATAGTTCAATACACACAAAAATGTTGGTTTTCTTACTTTAATCCAGATCCGCAAAGCATGTTAATGGTATAAGCGGGTGATGAGTTTGGTATATTTGCTCTGATAGCAGCTTGTCTGGCGGGGTTCTGACCTTGCCCTGCTGTAAGTACCTGAATGATGCAATAAAAATTATAATTATGAAAAATTTCGAAAATTGCTAAAGCAAGAAAAAGGTAGTTTTATTACCTGGCCCATAATACATTGTTCAACATCTTCTGATTTGATTTTTGAACGGGAAATAGCCTCAGCAATCACAAGAGTTCCTAATTCGGATGCTGGGTACTTTTCAAACTGACCCTGAAAACTACCTAAAATGAACAAGCTTTAAATTTTAAATTAAAAATTAATTATTTTACAAACCTATTGCCGTTCGGCACCCTGAAATAACGAATACTTTTGACATAATAATACTTTTAAATACTGAAAATGATGAATGTTTACAAGCAACAGCGACTGAAGTTTAACCAGGTTTAACTTACAAATCACATTACTAATTTCTTTTCATATTCTAAAAAGCAAATTCATATGTTAATTCTGAAGTCGTGACCTCTTTCTTTATATATTTACCGTTTCTTTTGCCTCGTTCATATCTTGTTCTCAAAAAATCGTAAAGTATATACTGCGATGGTTAGATATTTTAGACTGTAACCCTGTCCTGTACCTAGTGACATCAGCTAAAAGTAAAAGCTGATGAATTATAGCATCAATTAGCCAATTTTTCCACACTTTCTAAATCATAGTTCTAAATCTATATAGTTATGTAAAAAAATAATTTCAATAAAATACAACTTTTTAAAAGCTACAGACAGGCTACAGCGCTATCTGCCAGCGGGTAGCCCACAGATGAAGATTAAAAGGGTAGTCTGTAGCCTAGATATCCGTGCTACATATATATCTCTGGCTTCGGCACATTTTATTATCTGTGCTCACTAATTTTTGACACATCATTTTTCAGGGTTGTGATTATTTACAAAACATTTCCTCTAAAGTGACATTTCAGTCAAAGTCCAAATCACAGAACAGGCCCAAATTGACAAATTAGTGTTATAGAAAATAAACTTATTTTTAGAATGTTCAAATTAGAGTAGAATTTGTTTATCTTTTGTTGTTATGTTTGTTCGGAAATTTTTAATTAATTGGCTGGTGTAGTAAACATGCATTTTTCAATTCCAGATACTCAGGAATTAAACGAGGGAAATGGGTCCACTTTTATTGTATGTTTATTATTTTTAAGATATCGTTTAGTATATTTATGTTTTCAGGGATATAATATACACATAAATGGTGTCTTTCACTGTACAGTACGATACAAGCAATTGCATAACTTAAATGAACAGTTAAAAAAGGAATTTGGAAATGACATTGTTCCATGTTTTCCTCCAAAGAAAATATTGCCTTTAACTTCCGGCCAACTGGAAGAAAGAAGAGCTTTATTAGAGAAATATATTCAAACTGGTAAGTTTGCCGTAAGCATCATTATGAATTACAGGAGCAAGTCTTATTGTTTTGTTACAGTTGGCCAAGATTCGAAACTTGTGTCTTCCGAATTATTATCAGGATTCTTGCGCTCCGCCCAACAAGAGACTGCTTGTCAAGAAAAACAAGATATTAATTTAGATATTTATACCATGACTAATTATCCAATTAAGATTAGGGCATGTACCTATGATCGTACTGAGTATGTTTTATGGAAAGCACTCAAACAAATTAACTTGCCTCATGAATACGTACAGTATTTTTCTTTATATCTTATTAAAGTAGGCAGCAATGGTGATGTAACTGTTATACGCAAATTACTGGATTTAGAATCTCCTTATTTAACTCAACAAATAATTAGGACAGCTACAAGAATTGTTATACGAAAGGGGTAAGAAGGGGTACTTTGTACTTGGACTATTAAATACAATGTATTTATATAATTATATAATATTTATATTGTAGCAGTTGGGATAAAAATTATGATAGTGAATTAATGACAGATCCAGTAGCAATGAATCTCTTATACCTTCAAACAATGTTTGAAGTAGAAAATGGCTGGATTATTACGAACAGAGAAAACAAGATGCAGCTAGACAAAATAAAATCAAGACTGGCCAAAAAAGAATATATTGAATTTGCTCAAAAATTAAAATATTACGGCTTTATGCAATTTTGTCCATGTTACTGTGATTACCCCCAAGCTCAAACCAAAGTTTTAGTGGCAATAGGTGATGAGGAGTTAAGCCTGAGGATTCTTAAGCCTGGTAATGTTGTTACGGAAGGCCTTTTCAAAGTCACTAGGATGAGATGTTGGAGAATAGTTGCCACAAATGTAAGTGTCACGATATTGATCAAATTAATTAAAACCTGAAATGATTTTTTTAGAATAAACATACATATCCTGAAAACGAATCATACAGTAACAACGTTTCAAATAATTCAGCTTTGGAATTGTCATTTGAATATTTGATGTCTAAAGATAACTTGCAGTGGATAACAATAACCAGTGAACAAGCAATTTTAATGTCTGTGTGTTTACAGTCACTAGTTGACGAATTATTAATCAAGAAAAATGGCACTAAGAAAATAGAACCTGTGAGGAATCATGGAAAATGGACTTACATGAAGAGAGATGGTTCATGTCAATTGATTTCTTCAGAGAATAGTGGTTTAAGTCATTCAGATGTAAGTGTTAAATAAGTTCCTTAAGACTTGTCACAATATAATATATACCTTTTATTTAGGACTTAGAAGGGCAGAGTGAAACAAATTTTCAAGAACCATTTTCTATAAAGAAATTACAGGAGAAGTTCTCAAGTGTTTCCTTTAAGAGTGGTCGCGAATTTATTGAAAACCATGCTTTTGAAGGTATCGGCGATGAAGATTTATAGCTTTTATACATTTTGTATTTTAATTTTAATTTCTTTTGGTGCTATTTTATTTGTCAAAACGTTTAAAGTGAAATGTTCCGTGTCAAGATAAGTAATACACTAGTGTAAGTATTGCTGTGACAGTCTTATTGTTCAGTCCATTTCGTGTGCCAAACTAATTAATAAAAAGGGTGATATTTTTTAACTAATTAATTGTTGTATGACAGAAAAAAATCAATCAATTTTTATTAAGCCTGTGGTTGAATTGAGGTAGCTGTTATTAAAACTGTATATATAAACATATTATTTTAAACCTCAGAGTAACAGTCTCGAAAAAAAAAGCTTATTGCCAATAAACTTTCGAATCACTTTGTATTAAACCTAATTTTTAATGGCAAATACTAATAATATATATATAATTATAAATTTTATATTTTAGTTCTATTATTTTTTATTAGTGTTATTTTGTATCTAGTTCTATATGTATGTTTTTGTATAATTTTTGTATTAAATAGAGAAAAAAATACATTAACTATAATGACATTTGTTAAAAAAATCTTCCATCCATTTTTATATGTATATTTGTAACGAAAACAAGTACATTTAAAATGTAAGAATTTTTACCACTACCAGTTTCAAATAAAAATGTGATATTTATATAAATGCAACAGCAGTGTTGAAAACAGTTAATAACTGGTTAATTACAAAATGATTAAAATTAATTTCCATTAGTTTTAACTCAAAATAATTTGAAAGAAAGACAATATAGGCTTATATACCGGATGATATTTTATTTCGCTCGTATGGTATATATAATTATAATTTTAAAGTTAATAACAAAAACGTTTTGTTACCTGGTTTTACCAGTCCTACGTCTTATTTTGTTTGCTTAAATTAGATACGAGCTTTGCATTTATGTTTGTAACGAATGAACCAATGTTTGTAATCTTTACTGCCTTTAGAAAAGACAAAGCCATTAAAGTAACTTTATTCTCTGAAACATTTATAGTTAATTACCTTTGGTATCTGACTGCTAAATTTGCTTTTGATTAAAAGTATTTTAAAACAGTTCCTACCAAGTTAGCTATACGTTTCTTTTAACTTGCCAAATTTACAATAAAACGACATTCCAGACTTCATAAATATGTTTTAATATTATATTCTTCTATCTTTATATTAATATACTTTGTATTATATGTATATTTATTATTTTAATACAATATATCAAAATTAAAACTGTTTTATTTTTCGAAATTAGTTCTGGATTCCTAGAACAGAATAACGTTTCAATCTTCATGAAAGAAAAAAGACAGAACATATTCTTCATCTAGAGCATGTGTGAAAGAAAGCTATTTTAAAAGGTTTGTTTATTTCCGGTTTCCGTTGATTTAAATTTTCACCAATCAGGTTCTATTATTTTAGACAATTTCTTAAGAAACGGCACTATTTTACGGATATGAGTGAGAGGAATATATTACCTCTCGCTCGCTCGTATTAAAATGTTTATAATTTTTTCTAACAAAAATGGTGGTTGATCTTTCGAAGGAGAAGCTTTGTCACCCTCTGTAAAATTAAGGTTTTTATAATCTCAAATTAATTTTTATCATAAATTTTGTGCTGAAAATTGTGTGGAAGTGTATTGTACTATTGTACACCTTTGGAACTGGTAAGTACGCGTCTTAACACGATTTTTTTTTGTTTTCGACAAGTTTTTTTAGGCAACTTTAAGGGACGCCAAACTACAAAGTTTTAAAATTTTTTTTTACGTTTTTTTACAGTATTATTGTATATAATATACATTAGTTTTTGTATTGAGCTTTTTGTGAACTTGAATGGTTTATTTGCCCTTAAGATCATGTTATTATTTCTTTTAAGGGTTGAAAAGAAAGTTAAAACAAGTGTCGGCGTGGTTTCGGTTCTGGGGCTCCTGACGCCATTTTCATTGTAAGGCCACGTAATTTTTATGGTAAAAACAAGGAAGCATTCTGCGAAGTAAAACATTTGTATCTATTATTTTACTTGACTACTAACATTTCTTGTTTTTTTTAATGTTTCAGGTAAGTGAAATGCGCTTATGTCTAGATGGTTTTCGCGTATATTCGAGAAATGAAAAACTCTGTGATATGTGTATCGATAAGACTTCTTTGACGTAATTCACTCGAGGTATTTAAAACATTCTCAAGTATATAAATCAAATTCGATTTTGGTAGGCGAGTTAAGCTTTATTTTGCCTTTATGGATATATTTATTGATTTTTTTTAATATAATATAAAAACCCCTCTTACTATGCATATTATGCATAGTAAGTTATGCCAGTTTTTTTGGTTGATCAAGTGTTTCATTTGCTAGTTGGTGTATATTTACAAATATTTCATAGCATTTTAAAGACACGGCATCCTAAAAAGTATACTTATATAGCAGCATCCAAGTGTACTTGGTCCATGTTACAGTTGGATAGTGTCCACCATTTATGGTGACATTTATTTACATCTAATACACTTTTCAGTAAATGGCCTATCGTTTCTAAAGTTTTATATATATGTTACTTTATATTTCATTAAATATATGTCGCTACAGTCGTAAAGTGCATCGTAAATATATTCTAAAATTTAAAACCTTGAGGGAGATCAAATAAAACTAATAATATACCTTCAAAAATAATATTTATTCAAAAGTATTAAAACAAAAGAACAGTATTGTAATAAAATAGAAAGATTATTATAATCAAAGTTAAATCATTCATGAAATGAACCGAAGAAGAAAAATGAATTTTAAAAATTCCTAAAACATTACTCAAAAATACGAGATCTTTGTCCTATTGGCACAAATAAATGAATTCATGAAACAAAGGCAAAATAATAAAGAACAAAATTAAGGAAAATATAAAGTGCCAGATTTTTGTACTGTAATCTAAATATATCAAAAAATTAAATTGTGTATTCTAAGTTATGTGGCTAAGTAAAGTTATGACACTAAAAGCAATGATAGCTTCAATTATTTAGCAATAATACAGGTTGCCTACAAAATCATCAACTATTAGCTAACAATCCCAAATAACTACCTACACTATTAACATCCACAATTTATTTTGAATGTGTTAAACCACCCATATGTCTCTGTCCTTTCATCTACTTGGTATGCACAAAAACAAAGCACTTTTATTTTTGCAATAAGACTTTTATTTAAATAAAATATAGCAACAGGCAAATTTTCTACAGCTTAAGTCTTTCCATTCTTGTCTTTCGGCTCAAGAATGGTTAAAATGTGAAGAGAATATAGGGGTTTAACTAAACCTCTACTACTTACAATATACAATGTACAAAACCTAATATTTTATAAAAATATCCATTACGTCTAAGTATTTGTAAACCTAATATTTTTAATGTTTAAAGTACGGATATTTTTAGTGTTATACATAAAGAAAACGTTGGGCTTGAAAATCACAAAGGCCTTCTTCATCTAAAAATGATATTAAATATATTTCTCACGGACTCACAATGTACATTGGAAACTAGATACTAACTTAGAGGTAAAACCAGCCTCACCGAGCTATCAACTAATTGTGAATAAGAATTAATAGCAGATAATATTATGTAATTTACTCCATTCTCCTACTAGAAATCAGTAATGTTTATATGGACAGATTGATTTTTTATTATTATTTTTTAATTACTTTTTGGAGCTTCAAACTTGTTAAGGTTATATGTGTAAAAATAGTAAAAATCTAGCATATTGCGACATTGCACCTAGTACCTACACCATAATTTCAGTCAGACAAATCATTTCATTCTACATTCAATTCTAATATATACATATTTTATGAAAAAGGCATTATCATCACCTGATTTAGTTTTATAAAAATATTTTATAAATCCATATTAACACAAAAAATAAATGCGTTTGCAACAGCGCAAAATTTCTCTTAATTAATATAATAAAATCCCCCGTTTATTAATTAATAATAGTCTTTTGAAAAAAATCTGTTTTAAGAAATTTGAGCATATTCGGCTGTTACAAATTTTGAAATAAGACAAAAAAAAAACAAATTAGTCTTTTTGATTCTGTGGGGGTTCTTTGCGCTCTAGATTGTTCATTGTTGAGTTTGAGCGTGGTACCATCAGGATGGAACCGTCAGCTGATGTCTGAAGGCTGTACTGATAGGGTGAATATTGGTTTCCATCTGGGTCACGTAGATTCTGTAAAAAACGATTTTTTTAACTTTTTAATTTAATTTGGATACAAACTAAAAGCACACATGTTGATATTCAACAAGAACCTATTTTTAAAAGTCTGGTACAGTGCTGGCATTTTGTTTAGTTCCACTTTTAACAGGCTTTAATTTGTAATGTATGTTTTTTTTTTCAAATTTAGTTAAGTTGGTTTATGTAGTTTGACGTAAATTTTAAATTACCTAATTTTTTTTTTCTGCGCCTGTGTTCCTGTTTGTGTTCATGTTAGTATATGGAAAGATTATTTAAATAAGTATTTCTATATGAATAATAAAACTATGACATTTTTGGTAATCCATATTAAAATTTGACAAAAATCTTAATTAATCTAGCTCAAAAGATAAAAAGAAGTTAAAATAATGCTAAATGTGGGGCAAAACAAAACTGAGAAATTTTTAATTTTTAAAGTCTTAATTATTCTACTGTGTTAAAATATATATTTTAAGTTATAGTCAAGAAAATTTACTGTTCTAATTTCATTAAAATATAATTATATAATTGATGTACTAAAACAAAGATCCATGTTGGTCTACGTTAATTGTACAAATAAACTTGTTTTCGTGTACACCTAACGAGATAAGCGGAATAATATTCCACGACAATAATGTACTTTAAAAGATTAGATAGTTATACCTGAAATATGTGTCTGTAGAGTTGTTGGTATTTATCCTTCATCCTCTGCAACTCGACGATAGCGTACTTGTGCTCGTCCAGAAGTCTAATTTTCCTATCCCTGATCTCTTTGACCTCGTCTGCCAGACTTAGTATCTGATCCAGCTTCCGTTTCCTGCAGTTCTGAGCTGCCACCTTGTTCTTTCCTCGTCTCCTGATGTCTCTGATCAAACTAAGTTGCGCCTCACTGAGGTCGTATTTCGAAAGCCTCTCGTTGAACTCGTCCATAGGCAAATTGATGATGTCGTCGACGGTGATAGGAATGTTTAGGGCTCTTGCCCTCTTCTCATCTCTGGTCAAATGTTCGTCTTCCGACTTTCGAGACTTGCCCTTATCTCTGGACACGGGTCTTTGCATGACACCGGCATTCTCTGCCGGCAGGTGGTAGGTGTGGTTGTGCTGGACATGGTCCACCGGAGTTCTGGCCAGGTGGCTGAACTCCAAGGAGCAGGAGTACTTCATTTCGGGGATTTTAGACCTCGCTGCGCTTTCTGGTTGGGACGGGCTACCGTAGGAAGTCGCGATGGGGTCTCGGTACTCGTATTTGACTGGCGTGTGCGGGTGGTGAACCGTACTTGCTGTTCCTTGTTCCTGGAAGTATCTCTTCCCGTACATCTGGTGTTTCTTTTGGGCTACGGGGGGCATACGGGCGTTCTCTGACAGCTGGCGGTTGGAGTAGCTGTAGTCGTACGGCCTGTATTTGTTCTGGTAGTCCTGAGGGTAATGTTCTCCGTTAGTTGTGTGGCCAGAGTCTGATCCAGCGTCACACCATTCACCGTCGGATAGGGATGGAACTCTTTCGGAGCCCATAGAGCTGACAGCACTATCGCTCGAAGTATCTAGACGTTCCATGTCGTTTCTAGACACACTGGTTGTTCCCGTGGTGCTGTTCATACTCAGGTTGCTTACAGTATTGTTGCTTTCCAACATACGCATCGTGTACATTCCTGAAACAAGTAAAAACAGGTCGTGTTTAGTTTTATTGATTATGATGTGTGCAGGATTTTTTTAAAGTTTGATTACGATCACTGACCTACGACGGTATGCAAGTCTGTCGGGGCCATAGTTGAGTAGCTTCCACAAAGATCACGAACGCACAAATTCATGGGCATGGTATTTAAACTTTACAGCAACAACAAATACAACAACAGCAACAACAACAACACATGATTTTCAAAAAATAAAGGAAGAGGGAGCAGAGTGAGAATAAGGCCAACTCAGAACTCCTGTACACTTTCGCTGGCATAACTTGATCCATTTAATTAAAATCAGAACAACACAACTGATGACAAACAATATTACTAGTTAAACGATTGAATAAATCCACGTTCCTTAATATCAAGCGATCTGAGAATATAAACTTAAAACGCGCACTAGGAAAAAAAGTTCACCGTCCGCCGAAATAGTCTACAATGTCTACAGAAAACGGTTACTAACGCCCGTGACAAGTGTTATCGTAATGTATTCAATTCTCATTTTTATAAAACGCCTAATAAGATTTTGCCTAGATAAAAAACGGAGCAAGTGATAAAAGTTAAATTAAAATGTTCGTTATCGAAAGTAAGATAAGTTAGAAGTGAGGTAAACGGCGAGCTATGTTGTCAGGTCGTCTTTTCTCGGAATCGCGATTATTTCGGATTTTTATTGAGCGATCGCCGACTCAAGCACACGATTTCTACTGATTTTGATGGTATAACACACGAAAACTGCTGCCTCGCCTTATCTACAGAGTTTTAAAATAGTTTTCTTATTTTTAATGACTAAGCTCTTTTCTCAGCCGAGTATAGATAAATTTCGCCCAGTATCGTTCATTCGTAAACAATTTCAAATGCTTTGTACATATATACACATATTTATGTAATTACACTATAAATTAACACAGAAAGATTTTAGAAATACGAGGCCTTTATCATTTGACATATTTTAATCCTTTTAACTTTGAAGGATTTTTGATATTTGTTATATGTATTTAAAAAAAATCATCACACTCCACAATATTTAGAATGCTAAAAGTCTTTACAGTACAGTAGCTTAAAATAAACGCAAGTCATTTAAAAAAATCTCTTAATACGGTTAGAAAATCGGTGTGCGTTCCTTATCAGGCAATGCATTTCATAAAAATGCAGTTACAATCCGCTTTTGTTACATTGACGTCATTTGTCGTTATATTCCTGCTAGGAAATAGTAAATATCAAAATAAAATAATAAACAATACGTTAATTAATATCGCTAATTTCCTGTTAGTAAATAATGGGAAATTCCACTATTTTGAGTTATTTTAGAATTTGAATAGTAAAAATATCAATCTGATAAAGACGTTACTACTTCCTGTATAGTAGTTATATTTGTTTATCAACAAATTCGTTTTAATTCACCTGACTCAGAAATAATTAGGATTAATTTAGTTTAAATGTATCTGTCTTACTCAGTAATACGATCAAACACCCTTTAATTGCAGCATTTTTGAATTTATAGCTTTGGCAATGAACCAGTGAAATTTGATATACCTAGATATATTTAGGAAAAACAAAGATTTTCCATAAACAACATTTTTGATATACTGTAACGAATCGCTGGGTGATACGCGACACAGAATAGCTTTTAATAAACTATTATAAACACATGATCATCTCACATTTCTTGTGCATTTTCAGTAAATTCGTTTTATCTAGTTCATTCACAACCTACTCATTGCTAATTCAAAGTTGTCTGATACTAGTTCACTTTGTTTTTCGTTGAAGCCAATGAAAAAGACGCGTGACTAACAATAAACAAACATTTTTAGCAATTCTTTATTGTTGGTTTTCCTATGTTTAACATTACTGAATAAAGTTCTATTTATTCTACTCATTATCAAGTGTATAATTTGTTCAATCAATGAGCAGAGCACTTGTCAATTTTAAAAAATTAAATTATGTTAAGTAGCAGAATAGATATCAACTCATCGCGCTATAACAGAAAGTATATATTTGCCAGATAACATGATTTTCAAAATATATCCCACAATAATACTATTAAAGGCTGAATTACAATCATTTTTCTGTATATGGAGTCGTAATGACTTGACTTTTTCGGTTATCTTGGTGAACTAGCACTGGAATTTTACAAACACACGTTCTGAATTAAATTTTCTCTCAAATTACTTATCTCAACCGTTCAAGAGTTTAGCGAAATAAAATTAAATTTGCGTTTTATTTTTATCTGACCCTATACGTCCTCAATTTTCATAATCTTATCAAAGTTGGATGATTTTAAATTCCGTATTGAAACGTGAATGTAAGAAATAAGGAAAACATTATTGTGAAGAATAACTCCAATAATTCTGATGTAATACTATTACATGAATAATTGTGAATATTAAGCCTTGTCGGATTTTACTTAGCTACGCCTCTGGATGTATTAGAGACAAATTAATGCATTATTTCATGCTCGCTGCATTAGATAGCCTTGTTTCAATCATTAAAAACTAGCAAATATAGCGTAATTGGTAAACAACAACATTATCAACTCACATTATTGAATTTATCAGATGAACAACAGCAAACACATATTTTCGTGATCATTTCGAGTTTTTGTTGATTTTCACCCCTCACAATCCGATTCATTTTTAACATTATTATTTTTTTCTATCACAAATATGAACTGTCAATGAAAAATACGTCTAATCTGTTTAGTAGCCGTAGGAAAAAAATAAGCATATGTAATACACAGACCCAAAATTAGGAATGACCAAAAAATCTTGTTATATATAGTTGCCACCTGTTAGTTATACGGATACAATGCATTGGCTTGACTAAATCTTACAGAAATAGATTCGGCGATACTTATTTTTGTCTACATTTAACAATGAGCTAGGTGGGATATTATAGATTTTATATTCAAATATTCATCTACAAATTTGTGGCCGGTTTGTAACAAAGTCGTCTAATTTTTTTCCTTGTTTTTATTATTGATATGAAATAATTTTTAGAGACGAATAAAAATAGAGAGATGATGTTAAAATAATACTGATAAATCTCGTTTTCTCCTAAAATATACAATTTTCAAATATTTTTTTATGTTTTTGAACTGATAACCTTTCGGGTATTTCCAAAAATAATTAAAATATGTTCTTGTATTAATAAATAAAAAATCATTAGAAATGTAAATAGTTTTTTCTAATGAATGCATAAGTGTCTTTTAATTGAAGTCAATAAAAATGGGCATGGACTTAAATGATAAAATGCCCAAAAAAAATAACAATAATTTCTAAGAAAATAATTGTTTACTTATTATATCCAGCTCTGGCGATAAAATGTTGTTACGTCACTGAAGTCATACCCTAGCAGCTCAGTATATAGATCCAATAAATCCACAATTAAGCCTCAACTAAAGCTACCAAATATTATTGTATTTTTTATTTAACAGGGTCTTATATTTTAGTCATCAGGAATAAGCAGTAATCAGTAAACGTCATTATTGATAAAATTATGTGTGCATAGTATAATATGGTTTAAAAATTGTAGTTATTTTAGTTATTATTTAAACAGGACGCTTTATAAGTATTTAAATTTTTTAAAAACCGCATTGAATCATATTTGCTTTTATTAGGTGTATAAAATATAATAATCCATTTAATTAAAAAACAATATTAAATTCTTTAAGTGGCCTGATATCTTATCATTTCATTTTGCGAAATAAAATTTTGTCGCAAGCAAAAAAAAATAAATACTTTAATTCAATTTGTTTTTCAGATAAAATCTATTAGGTATCTCTTAAAATTTTGAAATTTAAAAATATGTTTTTAACATATTGGCGAATGCGCCAGGCTTCAAGACGTATAGTAAAATAAAGTAAAAAATAATAGATTTTAAAAATAGTTACCTTCGTTCATAGCCATGTCCATGAGTTGCAAATCTTCGTCATTCAGAATGCTGGAAAGGAATCCATCTGTTTGATTTGCTCCAAATTCTGCACCAGTGTTGTTCTAAATCATAAAATCATGTTAAGTATTGTTCAAAATAAGACTAAAAATTAGCAAAACTTACTTGATAGTACATCATATCATTGGATGGTTCCAATTTGTAATGGGCAGTTGAACTGGGCTCACCCATTGGTTCGCTGCTGTTGGTAAGGTTCATGGATGTAGCAACTGCATTACCAATGGAACCACCTTCAATGAAATTATTGCAATTATTAAATATCATTAACATGTATATGTTAAAAATATATAAACTCATAATTTTATTTAATAGTAACCAGTAATTTGGTAATTTATTGATTCCTGCAATATATTTTGAGTTTATTTACGTTCTCTGGTTATATATTTCTTGATGGTATTATTCATTATTTTTCTTGGCTTAAAAAATATTTTTTAATGCATTTTTTTCTTTGCAGATATTTATTTTTTATTAATTTGTAAAACATGTATAGTAGGGTGCACAATTTTTTTTTCTTTTAGTTACAGTGAAAATATCGTTCACGATGATGAAAAAAAAATCTCAAATGATACTCAAATCGAAATAATAAAGTGTTTTTTGGTAAAACCCTTCAAGGGTAAAACATTAAAGTTACCATAATTATTAATTATGGCTAATTATAATAATTAGGAATCATCTTGATGCAATATAGTGATGCAAGAAGGTATTTTTCGAAATTCCAGTTCCAAGGGGTTCCAACCACCCCTCAAATATTACAATATTTTTATTTAAAAAACTGTGAAGTTTCTGAAAAAACGCTTAAACACGTATATTTTATTTTGTTTTTTTACATATTTTAAGATTTTTTAAAAATGTATACAGGGTGTTTCGAAAAATCTGGTCATTGATTAATCACGATCCTGCTTAAAGCGCTTGACGTAAAAAGCTGATTTTTGGGAAACGGATTGACTTTAGGGTGCAGAGGTTCGATAAGAAAGGATTTTTCGAAACTCGAATTCTAAGGGGGCGAAACCATCCCTCAAATATTAAAATATTTTTTATTTAAAAACCGGCGAGTTTTTCGGAAAAACTCTTAAACACCTATATTTTATTTTGTTGTTTTACATATTTTAAGATTTTTTAAAAATTTATACAGGGTGTTTCATAATTTATGGAATATTTTTTATTTAAATTCGACGCGAACGAAGTCGCGGGTACACGCCAGTCGTGACTATATTAACAGTAATTAAAAGAATTTTTTTGTGCATCCTAATGTATTATAGGTTACCATTTAACAAAGATTTCAACTAAATCTTGAATATATTATATTACTGTGACTGTCAAGACCTATTAAACATAGTAAGGGTTGAAATGATATAAGTTTGACGTCTAATTCGACTTCGTTTTTATTCAACGTTTTAAATTATCGAATAAGGGTGGACATTAGTTGTAAAATCGAAGAAACAATACCTACCATATGGGACTGTACCATTCAAGTCACCCATAGGGGTTGGAAGCGTGGCGTTGTGCAACAATACACCCCTGGCGTCGTAGGTGGTGGCAGGGTGCGCATGTGCGTGGGGATGACCGTAGTTATGGAGGGCGTGGTGTGGTCCAAAGGGGTGGTGCTCGCCGGGATTAGGGAGACTTAATAAATTGGCCAGGTCCTGCCAGCGCTGTTCCATGCTGACGGTGCGCACATAGGACATCCGGCTCTGCGAAAAAGCAAAATAGTTATTAAGGGTGATATATACAGTGGGGTGAACCAAAAAAACTAACTAAAATGAACCTAATAACCGAGAAAAAAATATCCCCGGAAGACAGGATCTAGTTTTTTGCTAAATATAAAAATTTTTAATCAATAAACACTAAAACTACATATTTTGATTTTTTTCACTTTCAAGGCTTTCAAATATACGAATTATTGAATAAAAAAAAATTACTCTGAGATAGATTTATCCGCGATGTAAAAAATATTATCGCAAACCGTTTCCAAGTTATGTTATGGTACTTTTAATGGAAAAAGATTTTTTTAAGTGTTACTTAAATGGAAAACTTTGAATGTTTACCGACAAAACCTTTTAAAATTGAGCTAAAAATCCTGCCTTCCGGGGATATTTTTTTTTCACGGTTGTTAGGTTCATTTTAACCCATAAATTAAAGGTTAGATTTTTTGGCTTATCCTAATATACAGGGTCCAAATCAAACAGGATTTCTTAAAAAAATTGCAACGCAACGGAATTTTTTTCTCCAAAAAAATTTAAAGTGTTTTTTTTTTATTTTTAGCCCTATTTTCAGCTTTTCTGACCGAAAAATAATGTTTTAGGAAAATTTACTCTCGAAGTTATTGCACAGGGTGTTTTAAATTTAACGTAAAAACAACCCTGTATAATAAGCCAAATACTAAAATTTATAAAACAAACTGAGTTTATAAATTAAAGTAGATATATTTATATACAGTTTGCTAAACAAATCATGAAAATAGGGCTAAAAATAAAAAAAATCACAACACTAAATATTTGACGAAAAAATTTTCCGTTGCGTTTTTTTTTGTACATGTGTGTATATAATATATTATATAAGTATAAGGGTATTTAACCGTATAAGACAAACACTTTTATACGTAGGCTCTGAAAAATATATTTTGGCATTTACCAGGATGTAAAAATTTAAATTTAATGATTAATAATAATATCATACATTAAGCCCAATTTTTTCCATCTAAATTTAATTCTTCTTGAAAACTATTAGTTGATTTAACTATATCCAGGGTGAGTCTTAAATAAGTGCGAATATACGGGGTGCGAATATACCGGGTGCACCCCTATAATTTCTTTATTTTTTCAGATAAAAAAACGAGATTTGGTATGTTAGTATATGACATAAATTGGGATTGATTGACGTATTCAATTGTTTTCGGTCACTTCCGGTTTCACCGGAAATTACTACAACTTTTGATTTTTAAATGGCACCCTCGGTATTTTTTTACTTTATTCGATAGAAAATGACATTCTGAATCGAATGACATATCATATGTGAATTTTTGACTCAAGTCACTCAAAAACCAATTCTATTTTAAATTTCAATCTAGAGTGCCATGGCTGTGTTAAAAACACTAATCCTTAATCAAGGAGCCTTGGAAAAATAGATTTGATCGTCTAGTGTTTTTAGTGTCTTGTCCTGGCCGGTTAAAATATGCCCAAATCGTATTTTTAATCATATCTCAATTTTTTCAAATGGAACGAGGGTGGCTCATTAGCATATTTGGAAAAAGCATTTTTTTACGAAAAATTTGATACCACGTATTTTGAGTCAAATTGTCGTTATGAACTGGATGTTACAATTTCAAGTAAACCATATGCCAAAATGTCAAAAGTTGACATATGATATGTCATTCGATTCAGAGTGTCATTTTCTATCAAATAAAGTAAAAAAATACCGAGGGTGCCATTTAAAAATCAAAAGTTGTAGTCATTTCCGGTGAAACCGGAAGTGACCGAAAACAATTGATTACGTCAATCAATCCCAATTTATGTCATATACTAACATACCAAATCTCGTTGTTTTATCTGAAAAAATAAAAAACTTATAGGGGTGAGCCACTTTTGAGACGCACCCGGTATTCAGGGCTGGTAGATCTCGATAAAAGAAACATATTTTCTCTTTGTCGTTTTTCAAATAAGTCCAAAATAACCGAGTTATTTTACTTTGAAAATTTCCAAAAAAAAGTTTTTTTGCTTAAATTTTGAATTAAAAAAAACCATTGGATCTTTTCAGGGGTTTAGTAAATTTAATCTTAATCCACTACCTATGTTGCCATATTATCGAGAAATTATGTTTTTTAACTAAAAACTAAAAAAAATTCAAAAAAAAATACACATTTTTATTTTATTTTTCACGAAAAAAACCTGATAGTTGTGTTTCTGAGGTCTAAATATACTACCCCTAAAAATATTGGTAGTTATTTAAGACTCACCCTATAGATATATTTGAACCAAAAATAAAATCACAAACTTTACCCTTTTGAAGCTATTAAGATAACCTTTTAACAATAATCAAAATCTAGATCTTCTGTGGTATTATCGCAGTCAATTATTACATGAGTGACATTTTGACGTTATTTTAGTTGTTGTCAGTGAACAAAGCTTTACCGAATCAATTAAATCGAAAGTTTTACGCTTTGAAATACGATGGGTAGTAAAAATTTCAAAAATAACTTTTTATTATGACAAATGAGCCTGCGGCAGGCTTAGGTAGTGAGGCTCCCATTGTTACTTGCGGGTAACTCTTGTCAAATTATCATCGTGTTAAGGTTTTAAAGTGCCATCATCGGTACATCCATCTTTTACGGAGATTTTGGACAGGTAGACACCGCAGGGAGACTACCTGTGCATGTTCAGGTGTAAAATGGTAAAATCTAACAAAAAGAAGCTAAACCGCTAAAGTTAATTTGTCGAAACAAGCGATTAAGGTAGTTTTAATTCCTCTTTTAAAAAAAAATCCGTTTAATTGATGACATTTTTACCAAATCAGTCGGTTCCATCTGTACATGCAGCCAACGATACAACTCTCCCGAATCAACATTTTATAGCTTCACAACTTCCCAAACCGATTTGATTAAAAGCAAAAATGGATTCAAGCAGTTCGACTAAATAACTGTGTAAACAAAGTGCCCATTACATAATCAAAAAATTAAATAGACATATACTATGAGAGAATAAAATATAATTTGCAATATTAATGATATACTCTTTTTTTTAATTAACTAGTGCTTACATTTTTTTATGAATATCTTCTAAAATTATAATTATGTACCTTCAAAAAAATTCGTTATAACCGAAATAGCCCAAGTTATGTCCCCGCTAGCAAAACCCGTGATTAAAACTATGCTCGCTACCGTAGTTGAACTCATCTAAAAAGTTTTATTAGCTTCAATAGTAAATTATAATAAAAGTTAGACCTTCTGAAGATGTCAAATTAGATTTTTTTTAGAATTTTCACTAATTATTTTAGAATTAGAATTAGAATTAGAATGAGTGGGAGGGGGGTTAATCACTTCGACCTTACAGATCCATTGTGTCCCCCTTTCTTGGATCATAACTCATCATACAGTCCCAGGGCTTTGACAAAAGCCAGTATCTGGGACGGTTTTATAGAGGGTAGTTCTCCATCTCCAATATCAGTCGTACCAAAATTCATGGCACGAATGGTTGTCGTCTCGGCGCACTTAGTGATGAGGTGTAGTGGTGTTTTCCCATCTTCCCCACAGAATCTGCATTCGCCGTTTCTTCTTAGTTTCAATCTACTGAGGTGTTCATTGAGGAGACAGTGTCCTGTTAAAAACCCCGTCACAATCCAAAGGTTGTTCTTACTTAAACCCAGGAAGATCTGTGATTTTTCTTGATCATAAGCCCCCAGAAACTTCTTCGAGTGTCTTAGACCGTTGCAAGATTTCCATTCCAGGTTGCGGATGGAATCTTCCAAGTTCTTGAGTTCCGCCTTGAGTTGGTTACCACTTGGAAAGCAGAACGGTTCTGGTCCAGTTAGTGGAGTGTTCGCTCCTTTCCTAGCTAGATTATTTCCTTTTTCATTGCCTTCTATCCCTTGGTGAGCAGGCACCCAGTGTAGGAGGACTTTGTTTTCTTTGCCTAATTTATTCAGCTTCTCTAAGCATTCTTTGACCAATTTCGAATCGATTGATACTGAGTTGATCGCCTTTAACGCTGCTTGACTATCAGATAAGATGGCTATTTCTTGTGTCCGATAGTTCCTATCTAAGATAAGTTGTACGCATCTCTCGATAGCGTAGATTTCTGCCTGTAGGATACTAGGGCCCATTGGTTCGGAGTAATTAGCTCTCGGCCCAAACACTCCGATCCCTGTTCCCGTATTGGATTTGGAAGCATCAGTATACCAAGTTATGGTATGGTCTTTTAACTGATGGGCAAGCGTTTCGCTCTTCCAATCCTTCTTATTGCTCAATACTACATTGACATGTTTGTCAAAGTTGTACGTTCTTGGCATATCGTCCACTGGGAGTTGCAGAAGTGGTATTTCCTTTTTGAGGGTGTTCCAAGCCCCTGATCTGACAATTCTCCCAGTACTAATTCCGTTAGTGACCATTCTAATCATTGCCGCATTCACTAATTATACTTCCTAACACTTTTAGAATAATTATATACACTTTTTTCGTATACTCGCTATTTAAACCCGTGTATTTGTATATACCGGTTGTTTACGATATTCTCCGATGGTGGCAGCACCGACGGAGAATGCACCAAGCCTATATGGGACCTAAATTTAAATAGACTCTGTATAGATCTAAGTGGATTAAACAGAGTTAGTATCGCTCTATTATAAGGTTAATCAGGTAGGTACAGGCGGATCCAAAAGAATTTAATCCTATTATACGATTCTCTGATCCAATTGAAGCTGACAGTTTGTTAAAATCTAAAATAACACAGGTTATTTTGACACCGGCATGATAATATTTGTATAACTCGCGTTGGATGTTTTTAAAGGGCACGAAAGTATTTTACGTAGTGTCCTACCACGACAGTGCTTTTCTACCTGTCACATTGAAGTGTCCCGTCACACTGGGTATCGATAGGAATTTTTATAAGGCTAACCTTATACGAGTCGAACATTTGATTTTGGAAAGCTGTAATCTATGGGTGTGGTTATATTAGTCAAACTGAGATATGGTTCAAAAAGAAAGCAGACGATGTAAATTTGACTACTTTCGAGAAAATTAACTAGTTAATCAAGAGATTGTCAAAATTAATCAACATACTGTGATTGTTTAAAAAAAATATATCTACTTAATTTAAAGGGAACAGCATAAAATAAAGATTTTCTTAATGAAATCGAAGAAATAGTTTAAAGTAACAATGAAATGTTACATAACAGTTCCAAGGTTCTTGAATCTGTCGGAAATCACAAAAGAATTTATATTATTAGCCACACTTACAAGCATAACCAAAATCAATGGAGCCTGACAAGCTGTTCTAGAAAAAAAGATGTCTCGATAGGTATATTTGGTATATTGAAAAAAATATATATTTCTGACGATGACTGAAGAAAAATTACTTATTTTAAAACTTACTTGGAACGCCGCCCTGTGATGGGGGTGATGGAATGAGTGATGGGGTGTCTGAATCATCTCTGCGAATATGTCAAAATCGTCAGTATCATTTGACGAGCCGTCAAGCTTCTTGGCAGGGTCCTCAAGATCCTCTGGGCTAGCTAGTGATCCAGAGGCGTTTTTCTATCAAGGAAGAAACAGAAAATGTTGACGAAAGATTAGTAAAAGAGAAGGAAAAAAGACTTACCTGCGCATTATCATCTAGTTCAACTAGACTTAGAGCTTCATCGAGAAGAAATTCGGGCAAGGGCAAGGACAGATCATCTAGATCGCAAGTTGAAGCAGGGTCTGCCCCGGGTTCCCCTTTAATTACATACTCTCCTGGAAATGTAACAGAACATTGTTTAGTTCACAGTACCAACAAAAAATTATTAATAAATTTTTCAATTTTTTTTCAAACATTTTATCAAAAACGGCCACCATAATTTTGATGTATTTTAAAGTTTTATATATTGTGTTCTAGTTGACCGATTTTGATGATCTTTTAAGCAATTTGTAGCTAAATTATTTTTAGTATCTCTTTCTAAATTAAAAATGAAAGTCCCATTTGTCAATTATAGGAGGGTACACAAAATGTGTTATTTTGATGAAAGTTTGGAACGCCCTATGGATCATGTTAAAAAAGCAAGGAATTAGAAAATAATTTTATCATCTAGGTGCATCTCTTCTCGATAGTTCATTTTTTGGTTCATTTTGGGTTTTAATGTAAAAAATTACGCAAATATATTAGTGTCTTCTTCAAAAGCCAATATCTCCAACAAAAATAAGGCTATTGAGATGAACGAAAAAACAAACATTCGAGAAAAGATGTACCTAGATGATAAAATCATTTTTAAATTCCTAACTGTCTTAACATAATCTACAGGGTGTTTCAAACTTTCTCCAAAATATCAACATTTTGTTTTCCCTCGTATAATTGACAGATGGAAACTTCCATTTTTAATTTAGAAAGAGATACTAAAAATTCAAATAATTTAGCTATATACTGCATAAAAATCATCAAAATCGGCCCACTAGAACAAAATATATTAAAATTTTTTTCAACATATTTTCTGACAACGATTATAGATTTTCGGGATTGAAGATATAGTCTCTATATCAGAAGAACCTAGTTCTGCACTAGTTGCCGAATGATATGTATTCGAAAAGCGAATTTTTGTCACTTATAAATAAATTTTAAAATAAATTCCTCCGTTTAGCGGTCTTATGGATTCACACGAAATTACTTCCAAAATCGGTTCAACATTTAAATTGATGCATAGATATTTTTATATAGTTTTATAAAATTTACAATTATTTTTCGATTTATTATCTGTTATAGAAATATTTTTGACATTTTTTTAGGATATACTTTTACAGTTATTTTTTGATTTATTATAAAGTTTCAATAAAATTAATTTTTTGATTTAAATCAAGTAATTTTTTTAATTTTAATCATGCGATTTCTAGTATATGCCAACCCTGCATATACTAGATAAAAAATCTATAATTAAATATTTTTTTAAGTAATTAAAAAAACAAATGAAAGTTTAAAAAGATACGTCAATTTTATGTTTTTATTTTTTTGTATAGTAGATGACTGACAACTGACTATTAACATAATACACTACAAATACGTCTTTTTGGATCGATAACTATGTTGTTCTTCCTTATTTTATTAGAGCATAATGAGGAAATTAGACGAAAAAAAATAGTCAAATATACTGCCGTATTATATATACAAAGACGTATCAAACTATCCAATCAACATTTTCTGATTGTACAAATAATTACCTGCGATATTAATTTGAGTCCCTAATAGACCTCATAATCTATCAATATCTTATCAGCAGACATATCTGAACATTTCCCGATCGACTTAGAAAAAAAAACATATTTATTACATTTTGCCTTTTGCTATTGTGCATGCAGAAAACGTTGATAGCATTCTCTTTATGTCAGAATTATTAATGAATAATTTTAAATAGTTTTAGCATAATTACAGTAAGAAATTGTTCATCGCTTTTAGCATACAATGAGGCAATTGACATCTTTTCAAAATCAATTGTTAATACACAATTTTCTTTTATAGACATGCATTTTTTTAAGAAATGAAAAAATTTTAAATTCAATCGCAGTATTAAAATCCCAAGAGAGACAACTGGATGTCAAAGAAAAAATTATCATCCCAGTCTCTAAATACATATATTACATTTTTTTTGCAAATTTTGTGAATTTTATACAGGGTATTCCTAAATTGTAAGTCGATATTTAAGGAGGTGATTCCTGGACCTATTCAACGAAAAAAACTTCATATGAAGGTGTGTCCTAAACGTCTTAACTTTTGAGATACAGGGTAGTAAAATTTTCTAAAAAAATTTTTATGTTATTATCATCATTATCACGTCTTTAATGTTAAAAAATGTAATGTTCTTTAAGTCAATTTAAGTTTTTTAAAGTCATTTTACTTCAGGGTAAAATCACTAAAGATGTGGTAATCGTTTCTGCATTTGTACACTAAAAATATAATTTTTATTCATAGAATGTTTCATAAAGATAACTACAATAACATCAGAGTTCTCATGAAGCAAACTTTTTTTTAGAAATTTTACCACCCTGTGTCTCAAAAGTACATTCATATGAACTTTTTTTTCCTTAAAAGATGTCCAACAATCACCCCCTTAAATATCAGCATAAATATCATTAAGGATCGCCCTGTAAAGATACACTCTTTTTTTCTACTATGGTTTACACTATTGTAGCAAATTTTAGGCGGTAGTACTAAAATAAGGGGTATTATTTTAGTTTTAGTACTTTAACTATTCAAAATCAATGATTTTTATTTATAAACATCTACGATATTTTGTAATATATAATTAGAATATAAAAGTACAAACCTTTAGAATATAGAGCACTCTTTCATAATTCTTCAGAGTATGAAACCTATATGTTTGATCAATTTGAAACACTAACACAAGTTAATTAACAAAAAATAACGACACTAGACTTAAAAAACGCACTGATAAGTGTTCGAAATGAAGATTCTCCGTTGGGCGCTGAAGAAAATTCAAAATGGCACTGAAAAGCAATTAAAAAACCTTTCGACGAAATGGGTCCGCGATGGGCCACCAAACAATGGACGGGAGAAAAATAATAAGTAGCCGAAAGCCGAACATAATGATACCTCGAGGATGGAATCGGCGTGACTAAAGGCCTACCTGCGTGGCAGGCTTGGCCCCTACCCCCTCGGGTCACATTTCTAAATTAACTTCCATCCCATTGGTCGAGCCGCTCCGTAAAATGTAACACACACGAATTGCGGCATATTCTTTCTCCAGCCCGAAAAATCCTACTCCAGTTTGTCGTAATGGCCGACAAACCATGCATCTTCCACCATTCGTTCGTATAAATAATATTTATCGATATTTTCTTAAAGAAGCAAAAGAGAATTAGTTAAAATGTATTATGAGATAATAAATTCCATAGAAAATTTCCTGTGCTACATTTTTGCAAGGCAATTAAGCTGATGGGATTGATAAACCGAGCTCGTAATGGCCGACAAACCATGCATCTTCCACCATTCGTTCGTATACATAATATTTATCGATATTTTCTTAAAGAAGCAAAAGAGAATTAGTTAAAATGTATTATGAGATAATAAATTCCATAGAAAATTTCCTGTACTCCATTTTTGCAAGGCAATTAAGCTGATGGGATTGACAAACTGAGCTATGCACTGATTCTATCAATCGGAAGAAGAGGTAGAACACATTCTATGTTGATGCGATAGCTTGGTATGTAGGGGTAGCAGACTTCATAGAGAAAAGCTAATTGATAAAGCCATCCTCTTCAGAAATTGCCAATAATCAAAAGAGTTATGGGGTTCTTTACTCATCCGTACATTTTATTATTTAAAAGGTAACAAATATTGAAGATTTGAATATAGGAGTTTTTGGAATGAAGAAAGAAAATCTAAAAGGCCAAATAAAATATAAAAAAATTGGACTTAATCCTGCAACCTGGTGGATGAAGATGAAGTCTTCGTATTAAGACAGTGCCACTATATAGACCTCTATATTTTTTATTGAGTGGAATTTTGAAAATGTTTCTTCAAAGAAGAACAAACATTGAAGAACGAAAGTAAATATATCCTAAATGTACGAGATGAAATAGAATATAAAAAAACTTGGTCTCTATTCTAATACTCCCATACAATGGGAGATGGTTCTTTCTGTGTGTGAATAGCTTTCGATTTCAATTATTCACAAGCTAATTCCTGTAGTAACGTTACACTTACACCGTAGTATTTTCGATAATATTAACACAATTGGCTTTTGCCTCTTTTAAAAATGACTAGACAATTTTTCTGCTGACCAACGATGACAAGTTAAAGAAATTTCAATTTTATTTTGGCGCTATGCATATAACGGTTTTGACATAACAGGTGCAATACAAATAAACAAGTTTTGCTTTTGTTGTGTGTGCGAGAGTATACATGCGCCTATGGTATTACAACAATCAATTGTTAGTAATAATACGACGAGTGTTACTATTGAATGCTTGATTTTTAATCCCATCTCATTCATTTTTTTTTTAAATTTTTGGTTGATATAACTTATTACCTGTATCATACAATAACTGGATATCTAAAAGAATTAAACAAGCATAATGATGAAAGGTGTTGTGTATAATAATATAAACATGATATATGACCATGTATTTTTGGATCTATTTGCTTTATCATGGTGCTTCAGCGGTATTTCTTTTTAAATAGTACTCTACCCATGCTTAGGGATATTTGTTTATGTTATGCTTTCATAATTAGTTTATTAACCTACAATTTTTTTAATTGACGCAAGAACTTGATCTTGATTGGAGTTGAGAATAAAACGGTGTAAATTTAGTTGAAAGCATTTCATCGAGGTATAGTTAGTTACATTAAAAAATAAAACAGAATCGAGCCAGTCTTCCTGTGCCCAAAAACCACTTAGGCGTAAAAAGAATGCACCATCAAAGTAAGCCGCCAATGGGAACCATTTTGTTTCGCCTCTCTCTCTAGCAAGGCAGGTCTTTGCCGTTCCAACTAACCGCTAATGAATTTGATTTGAAAATTACAGCTGCCATTGATTTCCAAAGCCTACCAGTGGCGTACTAAGGCCTTTCTCGACCAAAATTTCGATGCTTCCAATACACAAACTTGTGATATTATTTTTTTTCAAGAATCAGTACAACGGGTCTCTAAGAAATTAGATACAGAGTGGTCCGAATTGTAAAAGATAAAAATAAGCAAAAACGTTCGTATAAATGTATGTCTTAAAATGCTTAGTTTCGGAGATTCTAAC